AGATTTAAGAAGTCATACTGCAATTATTTCTTTAAGAATAGATTACAACAAATGTGTCAATCAATGTGTTTTAATTGATGTTTAATTAAAAACCTGAAATTATTTCAAATAAAAAATAGAATTTTTCGACAATGTCTGATAATTTAAATGGTGTTTGATTCATTTTGTTCACAACCGGTGTTTCTTTATCATTTAAATGAGAAGATCTAAAAATCTGCAAAATAATTTCTGTTTTTCATCTAATGATAAATTCAATTAAGATTTTTAGAAGGTTTTTTGATTAATGTGTTATAAAAGGCTATTCATTATTTCACATTTCAAATTTTAGAATTAAATAACAACACATTTTTTTTCAAAACACTGTATTTTACGTTTCCATTTAATTCCTTCCTTGTAGCTTTTTTATTTTAAGCTTAAAAAATAAGCGAGTATTTGTTATACCCATGGGTTATCATACTTCACACAAAACTCTGATGAAATACTATTCAATTATTATTTTCCATCACAATATTTTCTCCAGAGAATTGTGTTATAATTTTGCAGATGATTACAAATATTTTCTGCGTCAATAGAACAAAATGAATAGAGAAGGTATTTATGGTATATAATAAATACATTTGTATGTTTGTAACAAAGTATAATATTTGCTCTTTTTTTTCTAACTTTCCTTCCTAATTAAATATATGATAAGCATATATGTTTAAGAAAGATATCATTTTATCTTTTTCTTATGTTTTTCAATAGAAGAACATTTTCTACAAATTGAGTCGGGGGCCTCGGGGGCCGAGTGGTTTAAGTAGTCCAACTACTGTATCACTAGCCAGTCAACACTGAAGTTGTGAGTTCGAATCCTGCACGGGGCAGGTGCACTCAACTCCAATCTTAATTGACTAGGATTGTCAGTTTTCCTACCGAAGGTCGGTGGTTCTCTCTGGGCACTCTGGCTCCGTCCACCAATAAAAACCAACCACCACGAAATAGAACAAATAGCGTTAAAAAACCAATCAATCAATACAATGGGAGTCAAATGGAGGAGGGACTGTAGGCCATGTCTAGCAAATCAACTAAAGACGCATACTACAAAATTATTAGATACCATAATGTCAATCTTTTTTTTTTATGTGAATTTTAGGAGACATATGGTAGAGCAAACAGACAACTGTGTAAAGCTTCATCGATATTGGTCCAGCCATTTCAGGAGGAGTTTTGTTTGCAAGGCACATAGACAGATAAACGGACAGGCAGACGGCCCGAGAACACAGTTATTTCGTAGTGCATTTCTTTTAGACAGTAAATTTAAATTAAAAAAATCGCACCTGCTCTATCTCAAAAATTTTTTTACAGTGTAGTGTACTACTATTGATACAAATAATATCAAAATTATAGAAACTTCTACCAGCTCTAACTCAAAATATTGACAATTCTGTGTTAAGGGGGGCTAAAATTCAGTTTGACAGCTTCAGACATTCTAATTTTTGACCTTTTTTAACTGGACCAAATCACTACTTAACATAAAGATTCAGCACCCAAATTTTTTTAACATGTAATTTCATCCCCTTACTTAATATTTCATGCATAAAATATCAAGAAATTAATTGGGAAAGTGTATCAAAAAAAAATGCAAGTTATACACTGTTCACACTAGGGACTATATTCGTAGACAACGAAAACCAAAGGACGATAACTGTGTCCTTGGACCTAATAGGATAGAAAGACTTGACCAATTTTAATAAAACTTTGCATGACCTAAGCTTAGGCATTTATAAGATAGTTGGCCAAGTTTCATGGCCATAGGATATATATTATAGAAACTAGGGCCATTTTAATATTGAAATTTGGATGTTTATTTTTGACGTTTAAATAAAATATTTTCAACTGTCAAGATTTTGGCCTAAAAAATTTAAATATTGCAAAAATTTGCTTTTTAAATACTCTTGAATTTAATATAATAAGTATTAAAAGCAACGGAACACTCATTTGATTTATCAGATTTATTTCAGTTATTCAAAAGTCAAATTTATATGAGCCTGTGCCTGAAAATAGAGATTTTCGAATTAAGGGAAGCCTTACATAAACATGCATTTTTTTCAACCAATTTGAAGTTTTTGAAGTTTTTTTACCATACATTATTCTTCCATATATATTAAATGTACTTTAAATGTAAAGAAAAGTTACAAAAAGCATACCACATGAGTATAAAATGGTCTTAGGCCATGTAAGACTGAGAATTATTTAGAGTCGATTTAGGCCGTAGCCCATATTTACATATAAAAATGCACACAGAGGCTATAAGAAATTGAAATTTGTTACTTTTTGCTCATTTCTATGCTAAGATGTCATGATACAAGAAGTCTAATTGCAAAAGGACTCTTGAATTCAACTTTTTTTTGCAGACAGCATGGTTTGATGACCAGTTTTTCACTTTTCAATGGAAAACTTGCATGTAGTATTAGTCTCATTTGGCATATATTTGAACCACTTACTATCCTAAAGAAGAAAATTATGGTAGCATATGAAATGAATAGGGTGTACTGATCATTGTAAAGTGTTTTTTTTACAGATTTAGTGAAATATTTGTGATGGACTACAGATTTTATGTACAAAGCTCTTCACATTTCACATACATCAAACAGGCCGTTTAACCAGGGACATAAATACAAATATTCTGCACATTTTTTCTGTGATAATCTACTTTTCTCTAGATTCCGAGTTCACAAATGGCTAATTAAATTTGATTTAAGCATAGAAACACAAATATCAGGAACATAAAAAGCTGTCAGATAGAAAGTCAGCATGGCTCTTAGGCATAAAATGGAAACTGCTTTAAAATGCTTATTTTAGCCGTATAATGCCAAAATGCTTATTTTAACAGAATTTCTGTCATACAAAGATGTAAATCCTTTACTTTTATTGAGTTTGACAAATTGAAACCAGCAAACCATTCAGGAAAGTTGCCAAAGTACAGAATCTACATTTACGGAATTCATCTCTTAGGCCCGAGAACACAGTTATTTCGTAGTGCATTTCTTTTAGACAGTAAATTTAAATTAAAAAAATCGCACCTGCTCTATCTCAAAAATTTTTTTACAGTGTAGTGTACTACTATTGATACAAATAATATCAAAATTATAGAAACTTCTACCAGCTCTAACTCAAAATATTGACAATTCTGTGTTAAGGGGGGCTAAAATTCAGTTTGACAGCTTCAGACATTCTAATTTTTGACCTTTTTTAACTGGACCAAATCACTACTTAACATAAAGATTCAGCACCCAAATTTTTTTAACATGTAATTTCATCCCCTTACTTAATATTTCATGCATAAAATATCAAGAAATAAATTGGGAAAGTGTATCAAAAAAAAATGCAAGTTATACACTGTTCACACTAGGGACTATATTCGTAGACAACGAAAACCAAAGGACGATAACTGTGTCCTTGGACCAGACAGGATGAATAATATATATCCCCGAAACTGTTTGCAGGGGGAATAACCAATAAATCATATTTTTTCAGCCAATTTTAATAACATTTTGATATCCGGCTTGTTGAAAAAAACTCCATATATCATTTTTTGAAAATTTGGTTAAATTCAGAAAAGTGGCATCAGAGAAGAAGATTAGTATTTGTAAAGTTTGTACATGATGAATCACAGACACCAACCGATGACAATAGCTCATATGGCCTTTTATGCTAAGTCAGCTAAAAATTGAAGCAACATTTAGTGGGTAAGGGACATAACTGCATCAAAATTAGATGAAAAATAAATGCTGTTATCCAATAATGTTCCAACAGAAACCAAAAGTATACCAAGGTATTGGTTGTTTGTGTTTTTGGGTTGCTGTCTCATTGAAGAATACCACAATTCATTTATAGAAACGGATAATGCCAATTATGACAATATCACCACATCATTATTGTGAAAATTTGCACTGGAATAAAATGTTTTGTTAGAGGGTTGTCTGATTGACATTTACTCAGTGCACATTCCTTTTTTAACATTACAGAAATATTCATTAATTGGGACAATTATAGTAATACATTTATTTCAATTTTTGTCAGAAATGTTTACACGCCCTTTGATATTTCTGATCTCCTACAGAGAGATGCCAATGATTTAAATGTTGATAACTAATAAATACCAAAATAAAATGTTTTTGATAAATAAGGCCATGCCTACTGTTTTACTTGTTTGCATCAAGATAGTCATCAAAAGCAACAACAAAAAAATACATGATCCAGCTAGAAAGATTTAATGATTGTTGGGAGTTTTAATGCCACTTTCAGCACTCTTGGCTATATCAGAGAGGCAAGTTTTTGTTAGTGGAGGAAGCCAGTGTACTGGGAGAGAACCGCCAACCTTTGGTAAGAAAATTGTCAATCCTAGTCAAATAAGATCGTAATTAAACAGTCATGAGCAGGATTTAAACTCCTGACCTCAGTGCTGATAGGCTAGTGAGCACTGCAGAGCACTACTCTGACCACTCTACCAAGGCTCCTAACTGGGAAGACAAATTTAAAAGCATCTCCATAATCTAAAAGAACCCCTACAGCTTGATGCCATTTTAAACCATCCATATACTTTAGTTCAAAGTTCTACCAAGCAAACAATCTATCAGAATAGAAATGAAGGATGAACTTCAATAGAATAAACCATTGCATGCCTGAATTAACTAATGGTAAAATGAACATAACAATTCTGAAAAATATTCCATAATGTTGAAAAAATACTTACATAAATATGAATTGTAGATATTTGTATTTAAGGCTTGGTGGTTTCAGCAATCAACTGTTCATTTAAATAATACAAATGTTTTACTCTCTCTTTCTTTCCCTTCTTTATTTTGTGGGGGGTATTTTATTTTTATTTTGGATATTCGTTTAGTTCCAGAATAATCACTCTATAACCGCCAGGATAGAAATTCTAGAATTAATCAAATCACTAGAATAGGACAATTAATTTAGCAGAAGATCTTTCTATTGAATGACTGTAAACATACCATCAGCTTCCATAGATTCACATCTGTCGCTCTGGGACATAAACTTTAAATTGAATTGTTTCCGTAATTCTGGTATGTCTTTCTCTTCAATAAAGTCTTCAACTGTTTTTCCAATTAACTGCACCTTAAATGCAAACAAACTAATTACAAGAACTGTTGTTTAATTGAAGAAAGTACTTTTACATTTCTACTAAATATCAAATACATGTAAAAAGAGATGTGAGGTATACATTATTGAATAAGCAACAGTAAAAATTTTTTGCTCCATATAAGGAGTGTCAAGTTTCAAAGTTTTTGGTTTGAACCAGCAGGGGATCAAACCCATGACCTCCTGCACTTGAGGCGAGGACACTACCACAAGACCACCCCGGCTGTCAAAATAACACAAGAAGAATTAATTACAGCAGACATTAATCACAATCAGAAAATCTTTATCAATTGACCCTTGTTATATTTTTCTAAACACCACAATAGAGCCTGGGTACCACAGATTTTATATTTATACTATACTTAACAACACACATAAAGCACCACATCTTATCATGTATAGCAGTTCAAAATTTTTTGTTTTTGGTTCAAATTTGTCAAAATATAGTAAATTTTAAGAATAACCTTGAAATTAATGCAGAGTTTACAGAGAAATTTTCACTTCAGTGGCTACAAAGGAGATTTCAACCACAAAAGTCAGAAATAAGTCAATTTCAAATTGGTCATTAGAAAAGAATTTGAAAAAGAAAATGGAAATCAAAATCATTATTGTTGTTTTCAGGTGAAATGATAACGCTGACTTTACTTTTCAAAAAAGTTTGCAAAATTCTTTAATTTTTCGAGATGCCAAAAATCAAAATTAAGAAAATTCTCTTTTTCACATAATTTGGTGGTAACCACTTCAAAATAAGTGTGTTGAATTTTTGGATTCATTTCAAATACTTTAAAAAAAAATTTTTTGCAGTAGAAATTTTTACTCCAAAGAAAATAATGGAGGTGGTGCATTTCTTTTGTTGTTGAGTATTTGCGGATACCTTTAAAAGTTCATTTTTAGATAAAAACCCTTAATGTTGTATAAAGAAGAAAACAGAAATATCTGCATCAATTAATTCAAATAAAACATTGACTACAGTTTAATAACAATGATATCCTCTTGGCTTTCTTTAAAGCTACATTGTTTACTTAGCTTTATCATATATACACCAGATAAGACTGATTTATATTTTATAAATATTTATTCTCCATTTTGTATATCATTCCTTTATCCTCACTTAATATTATTGCATTGAAGTTTACTCCTATCAATGTCCATCTGAAGTTAATGTAGAAATGTATTAAGATGCAAGGACACAATCAATATATAATGTCTACTGATGTCAGAAATTCTATTTTTTGAAGAAAGTCAAGAGTTATCTCCCTTGTCCAAAATGTTCGCCCATAAAATAAATTTCTGCAAATTTGTATGTATAGAATTGGCAGGAAATACAATGGAATAAGATATGAAAAGATTAGTACAGACTAATTTATCTTATTTTGATTGTTTTATGTCCAGTGGCAAATATTTCATGCATAATCAAGATGGGAAGCAATTAATAAAAAAAGCAAAAGGTACTTGTAGACACTGTAAAGTTGGTTTTATTTGAAGAACAACAGGAAAGACTCCCACTAGAACAGGGGAGAGAATTCTGGATTTATTACATGGTCACTTTTTTGTTCAAATTTTTTGAATTCAAGTCAAAAAGAATTGTAATTCTACCATATAAACATCCTTCAGATATTCATAAGACATCTGTTGGATATTAGTATTTATAATTCTGTTTTAGTCTTTCACATTTACTTTAAGAATTTAAACTTTTTAAATCTAATAAGAAACTGCTAAAACTGCCAAAATAGCCTCATTTCGATATTTTGTCATAAGAATTTAAAATTGAGCCAAGGCTTTACCAATAACGATATTTTGCCACCAAATATATTGTAAATGTGTATTAAATATCTTTTTGGGACTCATATTCATTAGAACATTGCCTATAGCTGAAATAAAGAAGATATCATCTTAGCTTACTATTAAAGCTACATTACTTATTCAATGATATCAAATATACACCAATCCAGACTGATTTATAAATGCATGTATTCATTCTCCATTTAATGATGTACATTTTATTGATGTTGTGATTTTGTCAAAGTCTGCATACATTTCAACAGAAAATTTGTAATTTGTTGAACATTTAAACCTGTGGTTCCCCTGTACCCGCTGAAATTCCCCGAAAATTGGTATCCAACAAACAATACTAAATCCACAGCACAATGACAACCTTATCAAATTATTATTACTGACATATTATGAGAATATCTCCAAATACAATAGTATATTGTCAGTTCGACAGACCCAGGTCAGTTATCTGCAGACTACCTTAGGGCTATTCCATTAAAATGTATGTGGGAGGGTAGGAAGGGAAGTTTAATTATTGAATGTGGGTCATGGGTCTTTTTTCAGTATGTGTCTATTACCATTATGCAAAATTATCTAAAAAATGGTTCTTGGTTGTAGGGATATTTTGAAAGTCCCTTCCTACCCTCCCACATACATTTTAATGGAATAGCCCTTATCAATTTTTTTTATTTCTGTAACCTTATTGCATAGCTTTTTTTTAAATCAAACTATCAGTATAACCAATCAGGAAAAGGTTAAAGATTTTCAGAAAGGTGAGCAGCCTTTATTTTTGCAATACCAGTATATCAATATTCAATATTGAAAAAGAGCATATTGCATTCTGTAAAGTAAGCCTTTTAGCTGGAGGAATTTCCTGGCAAATTTCATTTCTCTTTTGTCAAATGTGCATTTTACAGTACAATTGTACTGACCAAGTATGCAAGCAAGTATGACACTTAATGACAGGGCATTTAAATATCATTTATGAAAGGATTTTACTACAATTATTTGATATTACATATTACATTTTTACATTTTTACATTTTTATATGATATGAAGCACTATAAAGTTTTTTATTTTGCAGTGTTAAATTTCAGAATTTCAAGATTGCATTTTTGTGTGTTTTGTTCCCCTCCTTCCGATATTTCTTAAGGATTACATTTATGCAAAGGAATAGTCTTTTGCAATTTTATCATAAGCTTGAAAATTTGCTGATGATATAGCACTCCTGTCATCAAACAAGACAATATGCAGGAAAAGACAAATCGGCTCAGCCATTTTGCAAGCCAAATTGGACTAGAATTGAATGCAAAAAAGACTAAAGAAATGCGACTTAACACAACATCAAACTTAAGACTAAAAGCTGAGGGCACAGAAATCCAACAGGTAGATAAATTTACTTATCTAGGAACTGTGGTTAGTACAGAAGATCCAACACAATAAGATATTAAAAGTAGGCTAGCAAATGCAAAATTTGCATTTTAAAGACTACGACCCATTTGGAAGTCCAAACAATACTACAGGAAAACAAATATAAGGCTATATAACAGTAATTTAAATCTGTCCTTCTGTATGGAAGTGAATGCTGGAGAGTAACAAAAACAGATATGAGATCGCTCTCAAGTTTCCACCACAATTGTCTGAGGCGAATCTGCAAAATCTTCTGGCCAAATCATATTTCAAATGAACATCTCCTTGAAATTACTAAGTCCACATGTATCATGAAAGAAATTCGACAGAGGCACATCAGATGGCTGGGGCATGTTCTCAGGATGCCTGTATCCAATATAAATAGGATAGCTCTTAGATGGAAGCCCCAGGGGAAGAGACCAAGAGGAAGACCCAAAACCACCTGGCGTCGAACAATTGAAGCAGAACTGAAGGAGCTTGACATGACCTGCGGGGGAAGCCGAAACAAAGGCTAAAGACAGAGCTGGATGGCGAAATCTTGTGGCAACCTTACGCTCTGCCAGGAGCAAAGAGGATAGGTAGGTATAGGTAGTTGAAAATAGTGGGAAAAAAAGCCACAAATAAAAAATTACCATTTACAGTAAATTTCTACAAAAAAAAGGTTTCATATTTTGAAATAAAAATTTTACTGCATAGAATTGAGAATGGAAATGTGATTGTGTCAAAGAGACAACAGCCCAGCCAAAGAGCAGAAAACAGCCCAAGGCCACCAATGGGTCTTCAAAGCAGCAAGAAAATCCTGCATCCAGAGGCAGGCTTCAGCTGGCCCCTAAACAATAATGTATACTAGTTTAGCGAAATGGACACCACACTTAACTCTGAAACGTATAAATGAACCAAAATTAAAAAACACACAAGACTAAAAAGGGTGGAGGCTCATGTCTTGGGACAGGCACATAAATGCAGCAGGATTAAACATGTTTTGTGAGATCTCAACCATCCCTATACCTCTAGTCAATGCAGAATAAACAAACTCACAGCAGTACACATAGTAAAACTCAGTGAAAAAGAAGTCATTATATGAAAATCAAGCTAAATCCCTCCCATTACGGAATTAAGTATCATGCTATCATAAATTATATGAGAAGAACATAACCCGTATCATGCCAACAACTGGTTTTAGAATTAATGTGTTTATTTCCGATTTAGTTCACATGTACTTCCAAAAAAGTTTTAACAATTTTTTTTTTTATTTTCTCCAATAGTTTCATTAAAATACATGTGATTTTACTACTCTTTAAAAAGAGGTTATGTAACAAGGAAAATAACAAAATTTTAATGTCTTATCATGAATTGGACACAAGTGTTAAGAGGATGTAAATCAATTAAATACATTTGGGAACACGTTTTAAGATGCACTTTTTACATGTTTAAGGATTTACATATTTAATGTACCTTTGTATCAAAGAAATAATTTTTTTTTTGCCTTCCGTTTTACCTACTTTATAAAAAATTCACAATAATGGTTTCCTAAATCTAAAAGTCCTGATGCACTTTCTTTGGCACATACTGTGGGTTGATTATTCATTGGATACCAATTTTTGTGGTTTTCGTGGGCACAGAGGAATCGTGAATTTTGATATTCAATAGAATTCCCAATGTCCTATAGGCTTGTATGTAGACTTTGGCAAAACCATGATATAAAATATCGACGAAAATGTAAGTTTTCCTAAATCCACATAAATTGCTATCCACAATAATGAATGATATCCACAGTATCCTATTTTACCTGGGGGATTCCTAAGTGGTCTTCAACATTCTTGGAAACAAATAAAATCCTCCGTTTCCTATCCAAAAGAATAAGAAATCCATTCAATGCTTCTAACATTAACTGACTTTCTCCCAGAGGGGTATCTGAAAGGAAAAAGATATTCATGGTCAAATATTTCATTTCAAAATTTCTTAATTTGATTTTTCTTGTATTTTCTGAAATATTAATATATATGTAAGTCATATTTTCCAGGAATTCAATATTTATATACCTCGAACGTGTAAGAGTTTAAACTTGATCTAAATTCTGTACGACCCCTCCCTTCACCTAGATTTTTTTATCTATACAAAGGAGAAGCTATGACAAGGCAACTTTTTTGGTCCCCCTGAAATGAGCAAAGTCTTTCCCAAAAAGATTATTTTGCTACAAGATGAATTTGAAGAAGATGCAAATGTGTGTAAAATGAGACTTTTTTGTGCAAGGCTTAAATTTGGATTCATATCGATCTTGACCATACACATAAGTAGAATAGTCAGTTTTCTTCGAATATGTCATTCATCATTTTTATGATGTCATTGTGACTTCACAAGTGATTTTTCTGCACTAAAGTGTCCAGATTATATAAACCTTGTTACCCGGTATTTATCAATAAAATTTAAACACGATTTTGAAAGGCTTGAGTATTCTTACTACCCAGTACTTCTGCAATTACAGGGGCCAAATTGTGCAATTACAGGGGTCAAATATTGTTAAGAACCTTATCATACTTCCTGCATTCACATCCTTTATTATATCCCTATAGGTTGCATATTGTAAATACAGCTGTTTCACAAACCACACCTCTTTTGGGGAGATATATAATATTCATAGATATTTTGTTTTGTTTACGTACTGGTTCCCAGATATGATCTCTATGTTTCATCTCATAGATACATAACTTATGAATGTTACCAGTATAAATACACATTGCATGATGGTGGCCAAATAAAATTCTGAGGAAGACCCAAAGTGAAGGGAGGGGTCATACAGAATTTTAGTACAAGTTTAAACTCTTAAAAAAGTTCAAGGTATATAAATGTTGAAAATATACCGCACAGCCCTATGTTTTGACCTTTGAAAAATATAATAGTGCACATGAACTTTCCATTCAAGGATATAATTTTTTACGAATCTTCATAGTAAAAGTGGCACAGTTTCAGCTGTAAAAGGAGTTCCTATGGGAAATTGCATTGTCTATATATACAGAAGTGCAACCTATACTGTTATTAATAAACTCATCAATCAATACATGTTATATTAATGAAAGTTTCCACAACCGATAATGCAAGCTTAATTATTGAGATTCTTCTGCATAATAACTGTAGCAAAATAATACTTGAGAAAAAAAAATGTGATTGTTGTGGTATGTGTTCATTCTGTTGTACACATCGTTGCATAAATAAAAACATTAAGAACAACTATTTATCACCATTTTCTCTAATTTTATTTTGATCTTTCTTTGTTATAATTTTTCATATCATCCTACTCAAGAGATATGGGTTTTTCTCAATCCAATAGAAAGAGAAGGTATGACATCATGAGGCTACGTCATTGACTTTGCCTAGAAAAACAATGATAAATAGATTATCAATGGTCTTTCAAACTCAAAGATGTTTCTCTTCTCTTCTACATCTCATCTCAGGGTTGTTTCCCTTCAAAGAGTTTGTAGCTGAGATGTTGCCCTTCGATCAGATTGTAGCTGAGAAACACCCTCTCATTTGAAAAACCATCGATAATCTATAATTATCAGATTGTATTTGTGAGACAGGGTAAATACTGGTTACAAATAACTATCATCGCTTAAATCATTCATTTGATATTATCTTTGCCTCTGTGTTGAGTTGACATGTTGTTAACAAGAAATAATTGTTACAGGATGCTGTTTTGAAGTCTCCCATAATTCATCATTCCCATGGTCGCTTGACATTGGGCAAAGTCCAATACAAATTGGTTTGGTCTAGTTAAGTGTTATGCATAAGTGACGCCTAGGGATTGACCCTGTATGTCATTCAAATCTTCTTGAAATGACGAACAGGAATATATATGGTTTAGGGGTGGGGATATCGACCGTTTACAAGTTCTCAAAAGGGGGGGGGGGGGGGATCTCCAGGGGATTCGCCCTTTATTTCATTTGATTTGTTTTTTTGTCCCATACAAGAATATATATGGTTTAGTGGTGGGGATCTCAACCGTTTACAAGTTCTCAAACAGGAGGGGGTGGGAGTCACCCCAGGGGACTCAACTTTTATTTCATTTGATTTGTTTAATTGTCCCATACAAGAATATATATTGTTTCAGGATGGGGATCTCGACCGTTTACAAGTTTTCAAAAAGAAGGGGGGTGGGGTGATCCCCATGGACCTTCCCTATATTTCATTTGATTTGTTTTATTGTCCCATACAAGAATATATATGGTTTCGGGGTGGGGATCTTGACAGTTTACAAGTTTTCAAAAGAAGGGGGATGGTGTGACCCCGTGGACTTTCCCTATATTTCATTTGATTTGTTTTATTGTCCCACACAAGAATATATATGGTTGAGGGTTGGGATTCTCGACCCTTCACAAGTTCTCAAACAGGAGGGGGTGGGGGTGACCCCCTGTGACTCACCTTTATTTCATTTGATATGTTTTATTGTTCCATACAAGAATACATATGGTTTCGGGGAGGAGATCTCGACCGTTTGCAAGTTTTCAAATGGAAGGGGGTGGGGGTGACCCCCTGTGACTCTCTATATTTCATTTGATATGTTTTATTGTTCCATACAAGAATACATATGGTTTCTGGGAGGAGATCTCGACCTTTTGCAAGTTTTCAAATGGAAGGGGGTGGGGTGACCCCGTGGATTTCCCCTATATTTCAATTGATTTGTTTTATTGTCCCATAAAAGAATATTTATGGTTAAGGGGTGGGGATCTCGACCGTTTACAAGTTCTCAAACAGGAGGGGATGGGGTGACCCCCAGGGACTTACCCTATATTTCATTTGATTTGTTTTATTGTCCCATACATGATATGGCTTAGGGGCGGGGACCTCAACCGTTTACAAGTTGAATGATCTCAAACAGAAGGGGGTGGGGGTGACCCCAGTGATTCCCCTAATATTTCATTTTGATTTGTTTTATTGTCCTATACAAGAATATATATGGTTTAGGGGTGGGGATTTTGACTGTTTACAAGATAAGAGCACATTCTCAAATTGAAGGGGGGTGGGGGTGACCCCCAGGGACTCGCCCTATATTTTATTTGATTTGTTTAATTGTCCTGTGATCATTACTGAAGACCGTGTGTGTCTATCACTTACTGTTTTCAAGTTATAGTCATTTGAAAATTTAAAAATAAAATCCCATAGGGTGTCTATATATAGTAATTATAGTCCGAATTTGTGAGGCCGATTATGTTATAGGCCGAGTTTGTTATGGACCTAGATATGAGGATACTTTCGATACACTTGAGCTTTTACGTCTTTAATAAACATTTGTAAATATCGTAAATGGTGCCGGAAAATGTTCATTCATGAAATATTTTAAACACGGTATTTATTTTCTCTTCAATCGGAGGACAGGAGACCCCTGACACCAGGATTATTTTACTCCCGTCGGGAAGTTCACATTATGGATTAAACGCATGTCTGGGGAATCCCGTAGGAAAACATACAGCCTTACAGGTAACATAAACATACAAAATGGCTGACAGTTCAAAGTATGAATAATTTATAGAGGTCACAACTTGTACCATTTACAAACGTAAAAATTGAAAAGATTACGATATTCTTAACAATAAGAATTCTTTAATATCATGAATAAATGTAAAAAAAAAACCAACACACACCTCGAAATAAATATCAGGCCCTCTTAATTTTCAATGAATTAAACGTAGAAACTGCTGCCTCGTGTTGATGTTATTGATTTTATCTTCAGGTCAAATCCGCGAAGTAGTGTTTGTGATACCCATTTTCAAAATGAAGTTGGATTCATTTGAATTGTCGGTGAACATTCAGTCCATTTTTATTCAAGCTGTAAGCTTAACAAAATAGAAGTAACTCAAAATTTCAAAAGCATCTTCCTATAATTAGTATTCAAACACTAGTACTACATTATCTAGGAGTAGAACACACATCCTATAGTAAGATAGTCTGTCCAACTTCCGGTTTGAGGCTGATGCCATAGGAAAGTTTATTGCTATAGCAAGCTATAGCAAACTTTCCAAAAATAGTACACAAGAATATATTTTACACAAAATTCTGACGCCTCGCTTGATACAAACTTGATAAAAGAAAATTTCAATACTTAATATCACTTCTCAAAACACATTCTAACATCTCTTCAAATTTTTTTTCTTTCTATTGAAAGACAGTGTTCCGATCTTGGAATATTAATATTATTCCCCAGAGTTCTACGAAAATAGTTCTAACAGAATATGTCATCATTTGTCAAAAGAAGTGTAAATTGATATTTTATTTGTCTATGAATGGCGTGATTACTGCTAGTAAACTTCAAGCGCTCGAAAGTTTTTAAGACATCATATGCATCCCTTCTGAAATGTATTGACTGATGGTCGGCTGGTATCCTACAGATGTACCATAATTATTACAGCATTAGTAGGAATGTGATGTACATCTAATATGTTTTTCCCAAAATGTCAACTCTTAGGTTGTAAAATCAATGGTTAAAGCTATTTACAGGCCATTAATATCTATAACTTCTAGACTTAATAGCCTTACTGAAGGCTTAAGTCTGTCTACAAAAATAAAGATACTTCTGAATTTTTTTATTTCTTTTTATTTTCTTTTTTCAATATTAAAATGTTTTATTGTTTCAGAAAAGGGAGATGGTTTGGTACCATTAAAACGTTTAATCCCCCTGCAAATGTTTGCACCTGTCCAAGTCAGGAATCTGATGTACAGTAGTTAAAATTGAGAATGGAAATGGGGAATGTGTCAAAGAGACAACAACCCGACCACAGAACAGACAAACAGTTGTCTGTTTATGTAGTTCATACATGTTTTCGTTTCTCGTTTTTATATAGATTAGACCGTTGGTTTTCCCGTTTGAATGGTTTTACACTAGTAATTTTTGACGCCCTTTATAGCTTGCTGTTCGGTGTGAGCCAATGCTCTGTGTTGAAGGCCGTACCTTGACCTATAATGGTTTACTTTTATAAATTGTAACTTGGATGGAGAGTTGTCTCATTGGCACTCATACCACATCTTCTTATATCTATTTGTCAAGACAAATAAGACAAGACTGCACACGCTGAAATGCCGCGCCTGCTTTACTGACCATTGGTTTTATGTTGAAAGTCTTAAAGATCAGAAGTTTTACTACAAGTATCTTATAGACTTTACATTTTATAAGACCTATGACAATGAGGTAAAGGTCAGACAAACCCTGTCAGACAGACATGTACACCTTACAACTATTCCATACACCAATAATAGTTGACCTATTGCTTATGGTAACTAAGAACAGATCAAAAGACAAAAACTAAGATTGACCAATGCATCATGAAAATGAGGTAAAAGTCAGATGATACTTGCCAGACAGACATGTACACCTTACAATCACTCCATACACCAAATATAGTTAACCTACAGCTTAATTAAAGTATTTGAAAAACAGACCAAAACACAAAACTTAATAATATCAACCAATGAACCATGAAAATGAGGTCAAGGTCAGATGAAATCTGCCAGATTGACATGTTCCCTTTACAATCATACAATACACCACATATAGTTGACCTACTGCTTATAGTATCTGAGAAACGGACCTAATCATTTAATTTTAACCTTCATCTGATCCATGAAATGAGGTGGAGGTCAGGTGAACCCTGTCTGACGGACATGTAGAAGTTGCAAGGAGCCTATATACCAAATATAATATCATATTACTCATAATAGGTGAGCAGTTCACATGACAAAAAAACTATAATTTTTTTTCAAGTAGTCGCTGAACCATGAAAATAAGGTCAAGGACAATGGACATAGGACAGACAGAAACTTCGGAACATAAAGAATCTGCATAGAAGGAATGAAGCCTCCAGGTCTTTTACCTTCTGAAATATAAAAAAACAGGCTATTATTTGAACTTGGAATTATTTTCAATTATGGAATTTGCATAATTTCTTGTGCTTGAAATTTTTAATAAATTCCATGTTTATTTGGTATTATATTGTTTTGAGTGGTTCATAAAACTTCTCATACAATGTATTTTGTATAGATAGTGTTGTGCGCGGCACAGTACATTCTATTGAAAACATACTATCTTCTTTGTAATAGAAAGTGTTGTGCGCAGCACAGAACATTAAAGTCCAAATAAACATGGAATTTATTAAAAATTTCAAACACAAGAAATTATGCAAATTCCATAATTAAAAATAATTCCAAGTTTAAATAATAGCCTGTTAAAAGCTTTATACAAATAGTTTATGAGGACCACACCACTCCAGGATAGTAATACCTCTGTCTCGCATATTGCAACTTTCATCACATACGAGACAAAAGCCATTCATGTTTATCTGAAATTTTTTGGTGATTTTTTTGCAAAATCTTTTTGCTTTTCTTGTTTATCAAAACACATGAAGAATCTTATCAAAAAGGGGCATGCAAAAATTACAATTTTAATTTCATCTTCTGAAATATAAAATAAAAACAAAAAAAACATTATCACATGACTGTCACATGGTGATTGCTTTGTATCTATAGATATTTCCTCAAGAGACATCTTGCAATGTAATAATTTGATAACAGTCAATTCGTGCAGCAAATTTTCAACTGGTGACAGACAGACAAAACTGTACTACAGACAACCACTTGGGACATTGATTAATATCCATGAAATTCTTTTTTCGATCATTACCATTTCAGGAAACTATTTTCTGTTTTTCAGTGTTTTCAGCCAATTTTGCCAGTATCAACAGAACTTATCAGGGTTAATATCACTAATCCCTAACACAAAAGCAGTGTGTTAAGAAAATATCTCTGTGCAATGATATTGGAAGTGTTTTTTTTTTAATTTTTAACAAGTGATTGAGCAAAACCATTTGTGCTGATTTGGAGAGCAGATGACCATAGAAGAAAAGTGTAAAAATTATGGAATTATCAAATGGATGCAAAGAAAAACTTATTGTGTGAAAAAAGAGATTTTTTACCTCAAGAAGCTGCATCACGAAAGGATTTTCGAGGTGTGCTGATTTACGGAAAAATGAATCTCACTTCGTACCCCGAAAATTTAATCACATATGTGAAAATGTCTCAGCTTCGAGACAAACCATCATACATTCCAAGTTTACGATATGAGCAGAGGAATTGAGGAAAAGACTACCATTACAGCCTACCTGGAATAAATTGAGCATATATACCCAACTGATCAGGAATTAATAAAGATAATTTTTCACACATATTTTCCCATTAAAATGGATAGTACTGCTCATTTTATAGCATTCTACAGCATAAATAACTCACCATCAGGCAAAACGATTTCATTACTTGAGACAGATTTACATACAGCTTTTTCCTTTCCTTTATCGTCGATTTTCAAAGATTTCATTTCTGAAAAAAATAAAGATATTTAAGGTATCTTGAAGAAAACCCATAAAAGTTATGTAAACAGTCCTTGTGAAGTTGTAACAATAGACTGAGTAAATTTGATATGAAGTTTTAGTCTCAGCTAGATCCACAGAATTTTTATACCAAATTTTCATCTGTTGAACTTCATTTGTAAGGTGTAAATTTGCACTCATCTATTCTTTGCCCTCTTGCTAGATTCTCAAGTCTATAACTGTTTATTTTTTCTGCGACTGGGCAAAAAAAATTTAAAATTTAGACCATCTATTCTTCAATAAATTTTTTTTTTAACAGCATTATAAGGTTCAACAATTATAATCTTTGCAATTAATTTATACTAATTAATGATACAGAAATCAGAGCTTGCAAAAAATATGTTTTAACAAGAATTTTGTTCTTTAACAATAGAATCCTTTCTTTGTTCATATTGATATTACAGGTTATGCATAAGTGTCAACCTGTGATTAATTTATTAAAATATGCATGTATTTGATTCGTGCAATTTATTATGAAAAAGGTATAATTTTCATTGTATTGTAAATTCAGCAATTTTTGCCAGTATTTATTGCCGAGATTGTTAAAGACTGAATAAAAATGTGAAATAAGTTATTGCAAATTCAGGAAATGCTGAATTCAAGTAAAAAATATGCCAACAAAATCGTAAAACATGACATATTTTCCCCCATCACAAAAATTTCTGAATATACAGTATATCATATTTTTCTATAAATTACAGTGGTTGTCATTGATTCAATTGTCTGTCATATTTGTTTTTAATAAATTGTTTTGTTATAAATTAGGCCTTTAGTTTTCTCAATTGAATTGTTCTAATATCAAGTCTTAAACAGTGGACAATATGGTATGGATTTTTCCCATTGTTGAAGGCCGTACTGTTGCCTATAATTCCTTACTCCACTACATATGAATCAATTAGTAGATAGTCATCTCATTTGCAATCATACCACACCTCCTTGTTTTATCATTCACATAAAATTCTCTGACATTTTGTGCAATGCCACCAAGATGAATCCATTATAATTATAGTCGATTAGAATATTAATGTTATTTTTTTCATTAATGTGAAAATGTAACTGGGCAAACATTGTAATAATTGAAACTTGGCATGCTGTAAAAAACAGATTCATCCCTGACATCCCAATGGTATAACTTGAAAAAGTGTCTGTGCAAAGTCAGGACTATCAAAAGTAAATCACCAAGTGTTTCCATATGATGCTTTGATGAGATTTTTAACGAAAAATAGCAAATTTATATGGACATTGATATTTTTACCCTGAAGTTCACAAAATTTGTTTTTTCGATAATGGTTAATTTAAAAAAATGCCCTTTGATGTTTCTGTTTGGTAAATTTCTATCCAATGTTTCTCTCTAAGTCGACTGATTTTTCACAGTCTTGCACGAACAAAATATTTTGACATCATAATCCATATGTCATGGATATTGCCAGGGAAATTAGCGATTAACAGATTATTCTTTTTTTTTTGTAAACTGAATACAAGCAAACTTAAAATTATTGTTCTTTGGTCACATATATGTATATACGTTGTATTATACATTGGAGTGTAGTTCATTTCTTATTCACTATCAATACCCTCTCGCTAAAGTGGTCTGACAAGTTCTAAAGCAAAACAGTAATGAACAAACATAGAAATCCTTAGGGAAGCTGAAAATCACCTTTAGGTCCATAAGATTTTAAAATCAAAAAGAAAGTTTGTTTTTATATTTCCATCCCTGCTTCAAATATTCAAGTTGAATCTGATAAAATATATATCAAAGTTGAAGAACTTCAGCCCTATACAAGTTGGTAAACAAGATAATGTTAAAGTACTACTAAATGTGGATAGTAATTTCTGTGTATTATGGAAGACAATTGATACATTGGAAGATCAATGAATTTGTGTTTACAGCCTTTGTAAGTACCAGATAATTCAATGGAAAATATGCATCATAGTGGTACTCCAAATTTGGAACTAGACCTACAACACAATCCTTAAGTACTATACTGTATACATATAAAGTAATTTCATGGTACACTAAAGATTAAACCAGCAATCAAATGTTAACCAATTCTGTTGCAAGTGTAGTCAGACATACTATTTCAATTTTAACAACATTAAAATATATTTCAGTGTAGTGATAAACAAAATTAACAAGCATTCTGAGAGTATTGCATGGCAATACATAGTCCCCTACCGGTTAAAAATTAATTGTACTGGAAAAAAATGCTAACTTGATCTATAACTTGTCATGGTGTAAACTATATAACAAATATCAAGTCAATATCTTCAAGCATGACGAAAAAAAGTGCAGAAAACTGATAATTTAAGTGAATTTTCTAAGTCCAAGGACCATAACTCTGCAAAAAATCATCAAACCGAAACAAAATTCAAACTTGGTCTGTAACTTGTCATGATAAAACTATATACCAATTAGCAAATCAACATCTTCAAGCATGACGAAAAAAAGTGCGGAAAACTGATAATTTGAGTGAATTTTCTAAGTCCAAGGACCATAACTCTGCACAAAATCATCAGACCGGAACAAAATTCGTACTTGATCTGTAACTTGTCATGATAAAACAATGTACTAGTTATTAAATCAATATCTTTAAGAATGACAAAAAAAAGTGCGGAAAACTGAATATTTGAGTGAATTTTCCAAGTCCAAGGACCATAACTCTGCACAAAATTATCAGACCGGAACAAAATTCGAACTTGATCTGTAACTTGTCATGATAAAACTATATACCAAATATCAAATCAATATCTTCAAGAACGAAGAAAAAAAGTGTGGAAAGCTGATTTGCAGGACTGACGGATGGACAGACGGACAGACGGACGGAGTGCAAACCTATTACCCCTTCGACTTCGTCGGTAGGGGACTAAAAAGATTCCCAGTGGGTTCAGGCATAAATATCTCAAGTCAAGAAACGACATGATTTTCAGATTTAAATTGTTTTACATTTAATCGTGTCAGGGCAGTTCACTTTATTTGAACTTTTAAAGACATAATTACACCTTATATAAGAATGCCGGATTTTGATTGGTTGTTAGCCAGTGTATTTTTCTTATATTCTAACATTTTTTCCTCATTTCAAACAAATTTGCCTGTTTTTCACCTCTGCCGGTGAATTTGCCTCAAATTCTCCTCTCTGCCGTGGTATTTGCCATTTTGGATATTCCTTTTTTACCCTCGCGAGCCAGTTCCCGCCAAAATTATTCGGAACCTTTTTCACTTTATCCCGACAACATGGTTAAGCACTATTGATTGAGTTAAACCGAAGACTGTCAGAAATATACATATAAAGAGGGGAAAAAAATGTCTATATATACAAATGAACGATTTAATGATGGTATAACAATGAAATTTACACATATAGATACCATGACGTTACAAAAAGACAGCACTAACGCGTTTAAGTAGATGTATAATCCCCGCGGTACTACGATTTCCCTTCACTTGTACAGACAGTTTCAATCAAAATTTATTCGGTGTAATTAAACAGATATATCATGTTATGGAGGGGTATTTGCGAAAAATACCAGTCTTGGGACCAAAATTCCCTCACCTAGCGGCTTGGGAAATTTCACCGTCCCTTGACTGGTATTTTTCACAAACACCCCTCCATAACATGATATATCTGTTCAAAATAGCTATGGATGCTTAAAATTGCAAAAATTAACTGAAAGCAATGGGTTATGAATTGATGGTTTTATTCCTTAAGCATAGCAGCTGTTTTATTTTGATTTATTTAGTTAAACTTTTATTTGTAAGCTGATGAATGTTGTAAAAGAAAATGAAAGTGAACATTTTAAACATGTTTTCTTCATCCAAGCCAAGGCAATATTTGCCTAAGTCCTATCCTATGCTGTTACCCAAAAAGGTCTCTTAATGTTCACTCAAAAGTGCATACAAAGTCCTTAAAATCCTTAGTTTAAACCTTGGGCCAAAGAGAAGTCAACATATTGTTAACAAACATGTGGCACCAACGTGGTCAAATCCAACCTGTGAACTTGAGGTTTTGGCGGGCAACCTTTCAACATAACGCCTCATTTAAACAGACCTGTGATCTTTGAAAATGCTCAAAACCAATAGTCAGATCAATTCAGAACTGTTTAATTTGTTAAAAAGGGACCTGATGATCTTAGGCCATTTTTAAAGATGACATTGTGACCATAAGGGGTACTCTCCTGGAGCCTCATACATGTAAATGGTTTCTGTTATTTGCGCCATTACATATCTACTGGATGTTTACCAGAAATATCACACTCATAACAAGTGTTCATGCTATCTTAAACATCACAATCAACATTTGACATTTAAAGAAGCTGAGAAGAAAATTGTGTAATTAATTAAAGAGGGATGAAAGTTATATATAACTTTATTAATAAACGCTAATTGCTTGCTATAATGTGCATAAACTATGTACAGAAACGACTTGGGCACTTTAATTTCAAGTGCATTAATACAGCTTCCATCACAGATTTCTTCTGTAGTATTTGTACAAAGCAACTCTAACGTCACTGGCCTACACAATCATTCTAATCATCACAAGTTAATTGTTTGCTTTCTTTTATTTTAATTATAACATGTAATAAAGCATTCTCAACACAAAGTGTTCTCTAAACAAAGGATCATTTATAAGACAAGAAGTTATTTCAAAAACAGAATCAGATTTATTAAGAGTTTGTCTAATTGATTGTTGTTTTTCATGCACAATTTAGGATGAAACAATGTTGTTTTTCATGCACAATTTAGGATGAAAACAAATCAAAGATAAACCCAATATGTAGGTTCTGAATGAAGTTAGTTGACCAATCAGAATGAAGGTTTGGAAATTTAAAGTGCAACTGGGAAAAGGGTATGTTGGATAGGGAAAAATGTTGGCCTAAGTGCAACGAGCCACCGACAGACCGCTAAAAAGAGTTGTTGAAAAGTTCTATAAGATGCACAGAGTTTTCACTCCT